TTTGTTAATTATCTGATATTGTGTAGTAGTAAATAATAATATATTGTATTTAAAATTAAAAAAAAAAAAAAATTATAAGTAAATTAATCAAACTAAATTTTCTTGTTTATTTTTTTTTAATATTTAGTAAATTATCTTAGTTTCTCCGAATTAGTTTTAAACTACCGGTTATAAATTTACCGACATTTATTTAATTCCAATTAGCAATATTAAAATAATAGGTGAAAAAATTCAAATTAAAATTAAAATTCTCTGTGATTTATCGAAGGTATATGTTAGATATTATTTGTGATCTACATTTACATCTATAAAAGTCATATTCATTTTAATATTTACATATATTCTTCGTTCATGTTCTGTTGGATAACGGTTTTATTTTATTTCAAGTACTTAACTTAAATATTTACGCTCATCATTAATTAATGATAAAACGGGTGTTTGTATATGTTATCAATTATATCATAGACGTAATTCGGGCAATATTTATGGAGGGAGGAAAACTTTATTTTACGAATATGTTGATATACCGTATACTTAAAGACTAAATATAAATACACTAGATATAATGTACTTAATTTGCATCATGATGTATTGTAATGGCAAATGCCAATGAACAAATACATTTTGATTAATCCATTTATTATTATTTTTTTTATAGTTAATGGTTCAAAAAATTATATTTTTCTTGATAAAATAATTCTTACAAATCTAAAATGCCTTTTTATAATATTTTTCCTATTAATTTACAAAACACTAAGGAGGGATTACCCCGTTAAATGTACAAAAAATGTTGTAATAATCTTGTTTATATTCGAATAACGATTTATTTCGCTTTAATATGAATAATATTTACTGTTAAATTAATACGTTATAAATTGCATTAATTTTTTGTCTTGTAATTTTATAAATATTGACTGATATACACCATGAACACATTTTAAATGATATCTACATTTAGAAATGTTGGATATATTGGATTCTTTTGCTTGCACTATAACGGGATGGCTGTAGTAAGTGCTTCGCTTGGCCTTAAGGCATAATATTATGCACGATTCGATAAATAAGAAAATTTGTATGCTTACACTATAAATAAAGCGCGTGCTCATATTTCAAATTATTTTTATAATGATTTCCACTCAAAAATGTAACTTGACGGTAGCGTATAGATAAGTAAAATGTAACCCTGAGCTCCGAACAACTTGTCTGATATTAAAAATCTATCAAAATGCATAGTATAAGTAGCGGCATATGTTACAGATCATCGTAGTAACAATTGATGCAGTATGGACGTGTGATTTAGTAACAAGTGAAACATTTTATGAATATAGGTTTTAACGTGGCCCACGCTATAACATGAATTAATGATAATAATATGTGCGTACAATATCAAATTACAAATGAAAATAGCAACTGAACGGAGAAGAGATCAAAGTCATATCATATGGAAATGCACTCCAGTATAAATCGTAATGTGCTGTGTTCAAGTCTATATATAAGTCATCGAAATACGGTCGTAGGTTGCAAAACCGCGACATCCGACGGATGTCGCGCGGGTATTATGTAAGTCGCACAGAGGATATAAGAGTATATATTTCCGGTCCAATAATTTGATTTAACACGAATAACGCTGCCGACGAACAAAAAATACCTCAACAATTTACATACATATATCGATCCGTTTTATCAGTTCTCTGATAATCTGGTGTACTACTTAAATATGTGTACGTTGTACTAAAATATTTAAACAAATAATACAAATAATACAGATATAATACATAACAATTATTTGTCGAAAAACCTTTGGATGTTTTCTGGATTATTTAAATATAACCATAAATAATTTAGGATTATAAAAATTATAAGAATTTTTGTGTTACAGCTTTTAATGAAAATGTTGAACCAAACATGATTATAAATGTCTTATACTGTTATAGATAATACAAAGATATATGTATAATTTACTAATTATAATTATAGTAAACAGTATTCATAAACAGCTAACTGTGCTAAATTTATTACATGTTTCATCTTGGCTAATATTTCCGGCCAAATTATTTATTTGACATAACATATACGCAATAACCACGTTTGTTTAATACAATTGTGTGCGTTCCAAAGTTTTTAGAAATAAACTTTTGAAAAACTGACAAATTAACTGTGAAAAGTAATTTTCGAGTTCCATTTTTAATGTGGAACTGCAGGAAACTTTTGTTGCAGTTATATCACAAAAAATACTATAAAAAACCTGTTATCGTAAATCCAATTATATAGTCTTCATTTTGTTCAGAATAATAACGACTAAATGCGCTATGGACCACGAGAGGAATTTTTTATGCCACGCCATCACGGGGGTTAATATTGAAAAGTTGCCGTGAAAAATGACATTTGAAAACCTCATTTTTTTCTGAAAACTGATGTTCAGATGGTATTATCAAGTGATATACGAAGCTTAGGTTTACGACTGGACAGTGCAATATTATAGTATTATGTTAAAACTTTTAAACCGAAAATTGTATATAATAAATTTACTAAAAATGTTTCAGTACGCCTCACTTCCGTACAAAACTAAATGTGGTTTAGTCTCATAACTCTAGTAATAACGATAATATGAATTCATATATATTTATATATATATTATGTAATATAGTATGTTTAATAAAGCTATTTATCAATATTTTTTTTTTAACATTCTTTCCTGCATTCGCCGTTGCATCGATTCATGATATTTTAGAAATGGATACGACGTTTATTGTTACAACTGCATATAATAATCGTATTGGTATTAATGAGTATCCAGTCATTGGGCAACACCCTGTTCGCCCAAAAATGACCTTTCGCTTTTTGCCCACGTCTCTTTTCACCCAAATATTTTAAATCTACTTTCCCCTTTTGCCCAATAATATTATATAGCACTTTTCAACCACATATTTTTAATACACACTTACTTTAAATTATTTATGTCTAACATAATAATACATTTGTCATATTTAAATTATTTATTTATGTAAATTAGTTTTATAAAGCCATTTAAGCATTACCCAGAGAGTACCACGAGAGAGCGGCTTCTATTACTCTCCAAAAATGTAATGTGTTTTGTACATTAATATAATTTTTATATAATATATGTAAGTTTTTATCAAAAATAAAAATCAATTTGACGATGAATATTTGTTTGATCGTAAGATATGTGATAATGTTCTCCAGTTATTGAAAGAAAAAAATCATTCTTGTCTGAGTATATTAGTGCACTACAAGTTCTCGTAACACATCTCCAACGAGTAGAGCCATATTTTTTACTTGTCGATTCAAATTTATATTTAAAATTATTATACACTGCCATACGATATCCTCGTTTACTTTCTATGATTTTGAATTCCATGATTTTACTTAAATTTACAAAAATAGTAAAATCTTCAACAATATTTAATACAAAATTACTGTCGAAAAACGCACTCGAACTTTTCGACTCAAAAGTAAAACGTAACTGCATTGAAGCAGTTGTCCAATTATCAAATGTTATTACGGCTAGTATACAATTATTATCTTATACCATTTATAAAATAATAAGCGAACCACACTGAGATAGATATATCTAGACGGCGGACCATTGTAGAAATTATATAGGTACTAATAGTTTCCAAATATTATAAATATAAGATTAAGATATTGTAAATGTATGATGTAGATATAGTGTTTCCCAAAGTGAGTATTATAAAAACATGGTCGAAGAGAGCTATATAATATTCTTGGGTGAAAAGGGAAAGTAGTTTTAAAATATTTGGGCGAAAAGAGTACCGCCCCAGTCATTCGGGGCTGGATTATGGTCATAATATAAAGGGACTAATACTTCCGATGAGACCCTTTCATCCAAAATAACTAAATTTTTTTATTCGGACAATAATTTCTAATAAATATTAATTAAAATAAGTATAGCATATTTGTTGGCCAACGTCTATAAAACACACTGTGTTATCTTTCAACTTGCGGCTCGGAGCTATAGCCCCTCTCTTCCTTTGATCTAACCTTGTAGTCACTTCTTGATCGAATAAATTGAAATAAATATGCGCTTCATAATAAAATAAATAAAAAAACCAATACATTTTGCATACGTACTTAACGTAAATCGCAATACGCAAATCCCAAAACTATTAAATTTCATTACTTAAAAGCGTGATCGTAGGAAACTGTGATAGCAATGATGGTAGTGGCTAACCGCACTCATAAACCGCTGTACCACAAACAACTAAACTTGAACGAATCCAAGCACTCGGTGCGCTCGGTCACAGCTCGGTTGTTGACGATACCGAATCACCGATCGTTTGACAAAACGCAATTTTTCGGGCGCATTCGCTCGTTCTGTTTATTATTTAGATAGCGAACAGGCAACTCAGCAATTGCCTAGAGCCTAGCGCTTCAAATGAATTCGGGGGCCCAAAATGTTTCAAGTTAGAACGATTAAATATATTTACCATAGATGTAAGGAAATTGTACTGATTTTGCCTAAGGCCTCGCAAAAGCTTGCGACGATACTGCTCATACGAATAACATTCGAATATAACTGCTCGATAATAACCAGTGGCGGTTTTTGAGAAGCCACAAGGGGGGGGGAGTGAAAATATTTTGCATACACTTACAATTTGCATACATATCCCGTTTATTTCTTCCTATTGCTTGATACACGAGAAATCATTTTAAGTTCTATAAACTTTATACCATAATGGTATAACATAAAACAATAGGTATCAATAAAAAATTTAAACAAAAATTATATTTTATTCAAACTTATTAAACAGTCAAACTTATAGGAGCAAACATTTTTAGTAAACTGTTTACTCGTTTATATTTTTAGTTTTTACGCGGCTCAATGGTGGGGGGGGGCGATGCACCTATCGCCGCGCGGTCACAACAACTGGTACGATGTATGCGCGTACATAAAATAATTACGATTGCGGTATATATAACACGCGGACCGCTCACGTTGGGTTTCGATCTCATTGCAGAATGCGAACGCGGGACGATGCGAAGTGATGACACCGGCCTCCGCAGCCGCCGCCGCCGCAGCGGTCGACCATGATTTTGCCCGTGTCCATCCAGATGCGCGTGCTGTGGACGCTGGCGATGGGCACTGTGTTCGTCGTCCTCGTGCAGTACCAGTCGTCGGGCGCGTGGTCGCAGCAGCAGCAGCAGCAGGGCCAGCCGCTGGCCGGTGGCCGCCTGGACCCGATGGTGGCCGAGGACCTGGTGACGATGGCGCTGTCCAAGGTGGTCGTGGACGGGGACGTGCGCGTGTCCAAGGACGTGTTGACGGGCATCACGCGGCAGATCGCCAGGTACGTGGTGTACAGCGCGGGCGGCTACTATGGGGCCACCGCCGCCGCCGCCGCCGCCGCCACGACGTCGGCCAACACCATATACGTCATCACGCCAACGTACAGGCGGCCCGAGCAGATAGCCGACCTCACTAGGCTGGCGCAGGCCCTCATGCTGGTCCGGGACGTGCACTGGCTGGTCGTCGAAGACTCGCACGTCAAGTCGCCGCAGCTGACCGCGCTCATACAGTCGTTCGGCGTCAGATACGACCATTTAATCGGTGAGCAAGCAAAGATCGCGCGCGTTAACATTCCAACCGATTTTGCATTTATGACCTGTGTCTGATGGTTACAAAACCATCGAAACGCGCGAAATTAATTTTATAAATTTCAATTCCAAACGTATTCACGCAATATCGGTGTGTTAGATTCCTCTGATTATATGTATTCCCTTTAGAATAAAATGTAATCTTTTCAGTATACGTAATATGATAAAGAATATGACTAATACTGATAGTTAATACAGAAATAATTAGAATAATATTATGTGTTGTGAGCAAAAAGCTCTATTTGTATGTAAACATTTGACTAAAAATAATCTCAAGTACATTTCAAATTATTAATTTAGTGCATGTGTACGTACAGTAAAAACTTAATAAAACGCATAACCATTAATTATATACTGAAACAAATGATAAATTCACTAATTTCCAGTGGGAATTTTCATAATTCAACTGTGGTTGATTTTATGACCAGATAAATGTTTATTGAATGTGTATAAAAAAAAAACATGAATACTCACTTTCGATTTTCCTTCTCGTGTCATGGGTACTTTTCATTCAATTTTCTTCTTCGCTGCACATCCACTTCGATTGCATTGTTAAGTTAATTATTTTAAGGGTTTGTTGGTTTTTTTTTTGATTTTCGTTTTTTGATATTCATTGCTTGACATCTATAACATTAGTCAATTAAATGCTGTTTTTATTTATTAATATTAATACCGCGTACAGTAAAAAAAAAAAAATTAAAAAATAACCGCTAAAGTATAATGTTGTTAGTTTTATTTGTTTTGTATCAAAAAACCTTATCTCATTTTAATCAAACAGAAATCAACCTTAAACAGTTTAAAGTACAAATTAATTAATCAGCGTAGAACATTAGAATTTAGGTACTGGGATGAAATATCAAGCACTGCAGGTTGTATAGGTCCTTACGAGGAAATTTATTGATCCCCTAATAAAATCCAGACAATGAAATAATTCACCTTTAAAATAATATATTTTATAACGTGAACGAAATCTCGTTATCTCCTTTGTTCGAAGTAAATAAAACAGTGATGCTGTTTTTTTTTTTATTTTGACGTGTACGAAAGAAAACTTATCGTTTTTTCACTTATGGATAGTAATAATAGTGTTTGTTAAAACAAATTAAAAATATTCCTATTATATTTTCATAAGACAAAAAAAATTGTACAATTGTTTTAACAGAGATATCCCTTCAGCTGGAATAGTATTTGCCGCATTGTGCAATCTGATACATTTGACAGTTACGTCTCAACTAATAATACATTTATGGACGATTGTTCGGAGAAAAAAAATGTTATACCAAAATTACTTTATCGAAATTTTTTTATGACGTTATCAAATTATATTCTACGATTTACTTAAGTTCAATGAACAGTGTCAAAGTCAAAAAAAAATAAATAAAATAAAAATTCACAATTTTATATAAACTACAAAAAGCAAAAATAACTAAGATATTTATGAAATACTACACAGTTTATTGTATGTCAATAGTTCTCACACTTTTTTTTTTTTGTTTAAACTTGTGTTCTCGAAAAAAATTTACGGAGCTCCAAAAATCAGGAATTTCTGTTTAAGGCAACAATAATTCTCAATTTTATGTTGAGAAAAACACTGCCAAAAATTTAATTATATGGTCGTTTTACCTTATATTGATAAATGTACTTCATTTAAATTTGTTAATTATTAACCAAGCAATAAAGTCAAAATAACTAAATTTTTTCAGTGAATCTGAGTTATAAATTAAATGGACGTTCTGTGAAAAAAAACTTACAATTCATTGCGCAATCCGAGTAATCGTACTAGAATTTTTCCTCAATAAATTATAAATATAATATTAATAATATTATAATTTAATTAATTCAGATGTATCTATGGAGCTCCTTGATTTATTTCATGGAGCCCTAGGGTTCCGCGAAGCTCAGTTTGAGAACCCCTGTTCTATACAATTCGGAATCTTAGGTAGGCATTAAATAATAAAAAAATAAAAAAAAACACTTTATTAATATATTATATTGTTGTTAGCTATTATGCAACTTATAAAATTCTCATTTTTTGCATCAGTAACTGTCATTTTATTACAGCGATATAGTAGATAAGATATGTATTTCTCTGTTAATAAAATATAGTCACCTAATAAAAGTATTCGTATTATTATAGTACATTTTTACGAGTTATGAAAGTTATAGTAAGTATCGCAACAGGGATTTTGTTTTTTTTATTTAAATTTTAAACCGTAAAATAACGTTACAAATCAGCACACTCTCAGACTCTTGTGATATATAAAAAAAAAAAAACTTTTTTTCCATCAAAGCGATCACGATCATAGCAAAAAAAAAAAATAAATAAATAAATATTCAAAATGTTATATAATTAACAATAATATAAAGTTGAATTTAATCAAATCAATGCTTCAAAATGTAAATTATATATATTTAATACTATTTTTATGTTTCATGATTTGAAAGTTTAATGTAAAATTAATAACAATAAATTGTACATATAATTAAAACATCCTGATATGTATCTAATTTTTTTTTGTCAACCGATTTTTGTAATTGTTTCACAAATATATAGTGATATGCATTTTTTTTTTTAATGAAATCAATGTACATAATTCAGAGCTCAATTTTTATGTCTCAGTATATTTAAGACTTACTCGTGTTCATATGATTGTATAGTTATGGTTTCCGTAATTAATATTTCAACACCTATGTAAGCAAATTACATGTTACATCAATTTCAGCTGAGTCGATCCTTAAATTTGACGATTCACCATTACTTTTAGCTATTGTACAAGTTTGCACATACGTTTTATAGTGACCTAAATACAATTCAACTTATATACTACATATAAGTATCTATAGCTAATTTATGATTTATATCTACGTACACGTCTTCTATCAGAAGCCTGTTTAAGGTTTTGGCGGAGGTCTTACATTAGATATCAGTTACATGCTTAATTTTTGTAACTCTCCGGACAACTGAATAATTGAGTTTTAAGGACTTCTACAGAACAGATATTTGAATATTTCACAGTTGAATTGCTGGAATTGTAATAATAATTTCAGAGTACCTTAATTGTTTCAATGAAAATGCATTTGTACTATATATCTATTTTTAAATACACAAGATGACATTCAGTGTCATAACTACTTAAGAAGTTAGGACTCTAAAAAAATTACATCCTCACAGTATTATACACCTTGTTCAACATACGAGTATATGACGGATTATTTCCACGAACTAAATTTTTTTTAAATGAATAATATGTTTCATGCATCACTTTTTCTTTGTCCTTCATGCCAATGATGCCGATATTTTTTCTTACCAGACATTTATACTAAGTATATATTCTTCTGCAAAACATTCACTTCAAACCCATAATTGAGTACCAACTACTCGTATATAAATACACATAAAGATTTTATTTAAATATGACGGAAGAATATGTGCATCTAGATTTTTGTTTATTCTTATAAACATGTGTTACTTATATTTACATGGAATAAAAAACATTTATGTGTTTCATATACTCAAAAAAAAAAAAACGTTTTAATTTATATTTAGAAGCTTCGGATTTATACCTATTTATATCCATAAATTATATATCCTCCTTGACGATTATTGTAAACATACTTTTCTAAAACTTAATATTGATGTTGTATTGTAATAATACTATAATGTTATTATTAATTTTTTTCATTGATCACTCATTATATCAAAAACAGTGAATTATGTAATTTAACATTCATTTATATTTTTATTATTATTTATGGTATGAAATAATTGTATGAATATCATTTTATTACTCAGATCTGCTTTATTTATTTTTATCAAATTAAAACTAAAAAAAAATTCAATAACTAAAAATATCTAACTGTAGTGAAATTACTTTCTAATAATACACAATACATAATGATATAATTTAATTTTTATGAAACTATTATTATGCCCCATTGTAAATCTTTAGAGTCTTTATTATACTTCTTATTTCTCGAGAAATATTTTAATTCATTAAGACGTTTATTATTGGGTTTTCTTTCAACAATCATATATGTATTCGTAACATATAACGCTGGTAAACATAATATTATCTTGCATTTACGAATAATGCATGTGTTTGAATCATTATTTCTGTTTTAGCGAAACGTTTTTATCGCTTTAGGACTACATATGTCACTTATTGAAATCCCAGTTCATATCCGGAAAAAATGTTGATTATGACAAAATGACGTCTGTGGAACGGCAGCAAAAAAATTATACCTCGTTATAGCTCGTTATATTTTATATTATAATTATATTCACTGCGCATACATTTATCAGTAAATATACATTATAAATCACACTTTTTGACATGGATAAATCTTATCGCTGGGCGTCATGCTAACAATTTTTCTAGGAAGTCACACCAGATGGCACACTCGCAAAATTTACATCAATTCAAATGCACCGTTTTTCTAATAACAGTTTGATTTTCATAGTAAATTCATAGTAAAATCAAAGTAAATTTTGTGCAAATATCTCAATAAAAGCAGAATCGGTAGATACTGCAATTTTGACTTTATAAATATTAATGTTAACAACTCGAAATATTTACTGAATATTAGTAATTATTCGTATTAGCATTTCATACTGTCATTCCACAACTTTCAAAATACCTTAAGGGGGCTGGAAGTGCTTATTTAATAAGGGGTAAAATTTAGGCAATTTGTAATCACGTCGTCACCACCCGATGTATTTGTGTTAGTCGTAAATGATTATTAGTGTGAGTGCGGTTCATAATCTGTACCGCCACCTTCCTCTTTGTCATAGTCACATCATTATCACAATGTTATTTATAGTTTTATTTCCATTTTATAATAATAGTGTGTATCCGCTATCGCATTGAACTATTATATTTCGTAGTAGGTACATAATACGTAATACATTTATACCTATTATACGTGTCATTGCTGCGGTCGCGCATTTTTACAAAAGTGGCTGTTGTTATAAAAAAAAAATAGACTAGCCGACTATTATAATAATTAATAACCAATAAATATTAAATAATACTAAATACTACAAGGAAATGATATTAATATAATTCATTGTTTTATGAAACATTAACTTAAAAAAAATTATAAATACATTTGAAATAAACAAATAAGTGCAATAAAATTAAAAATATAAAAGATTAAAAAATGAGTAGGAACGTCGTAAGTTTTTTATGTTTTTAAATATTGTGGATTACATATTTCTGGCAACATATGGTCCAGGTAGAATTCTGACAACGTCATCTCCATCTTATTATTCCAGAATACATCATCACGTTCAATTTTATGTACACAAATCCCTATAACAATAATTACAAAATCTTACAATAATGAAATAATAATTATTAGTACCTACAGTAAAATGTTTACCTTTTGGTGTCCATACAACAAAGTAGCAATATTTTCTGTTTGTTATATGCAATTGCCCTTGTACTTGGTAGTAGTAAGAATGGTTTTTTTTTAAAAATAATTTACCCGATTGCATATCCATAAACTTTAACTTTTTTGCTTTGTGTGCATCTTGGGGAGTAAAATTTTTTATAGAAAATGGACATTTTATCTCTATTATTGAATCATCCTCATCATACTCACTCATCTTTTGGTCCTTTTTCATTTTTACGGTCAAATATGACTGATCGATCAGATGAATCTAACATATTCATATGTGATGACTCTACGGTCTCTACGTTATTACTTTCACATCCATTATCATCGTTTATTTCTTCACTAAATAATAAAATCATTATAAATAATTACCGGGTATTAATAATTAACAACTTTATTAGGATTTTAATCGAAAAATTCGGTATTTTACGTCAAAATAATGATTTTCGTTAAAATTTGAACTTTAAACTTTAAACGCAAATGTCAATATTAATTTGGATCAAAATATTAAAAACTAATTTATGAACGTAAAATAGCTATATGTAGGACAAAAATTTGAGTACTTCTAGTGGCTCAATATAAAAAATTTAAAGATGTAGGTATGAATGCATAAAGAAGTTTACTTTGCATTGGTTGGAGCAATTTTTCAATTTTAGTAAATTCTTGACAATGAATAAACATGAATAATTTTTAAAATTTGTAAATTTGTAAAGTTAAGTATATTAAAAAATATTAAAAATGTGCTCTGACCGATACAAAGTAAACTTATTTACCAATCCAAGCATCTTAACATATTTTAGAAAATTAAACAACTTCTAGTACCAAAATTTTTGTCAGCCACATAGGTCGTTTTAATAAAAATTGATTGGGTTTGCAACGTCCTTTATAAAAATATAAATTTTATATATTACTTTATTAATAATAACAAACCGAATTATGTAAATACGAACATTGTAGAACTACTCTGGTCTAGAATATTGTCATTGCTATGTGGTTGATATTGCGGTGTCGAAGAATCAGAGTTTTCCTGCATAGCCACGCATAAAAACACAGAAAAATGTTTAAAATAAAAACTAAAAATAACATTCAAAGAATACAAATAATTACAATTTAACTTACTGTATTATGTATGCGATTTAAACGCCATTTGTGTATCGCTTCTATATGTCCTTTATGTTTTTTTAATTTGGACAATCTAACTCTTTTTTTTTTTCTTGTTACTAGATCGTTTTCCATTATACAAATCAATTAAAAAATGTTTATTTGAAAAGAAAACGCTATTCAATTAAATAATTTTATAAGTAAAAAAACTTATTTTATTTTTTAATTGTTTATTCATTAGCTCACCGCACAGAAAAAGAATAAACAGAGTGAACCGTGTTCATAGAATAGCCGGTGACCTTCGATAACGATATTTCGTAATCGTATTGATATAAATAGTTTGTGGCGAGAGGGAACCACATCCGCACGCACACGAGCAAGTCACCAAATGTCGCGCACGGCGTCACTTACGAACGGAGATTATTTGTTGAAAGCATGTACTTTTTGTCCACTGTACCGATGTAACTACTTTTGCGATAAGAAATCTGAAAACATATTTTTATTCGTTATGAAGTTTATTTGTGATCGATCATCCCATTTTTTTGATTTTTTTTTTTTAATTCGGTTTATTCACTGTTTAAAAATTCAAAAATTGTTAGTTTTTAAATCAAATGTAAGGGGGGGATAAGAGCCAAAATTTAAAAAAATGCGATGATCGATCACAAATAAACTTCATAACGAATAAAAATATGTTTTCAGATTTCTTATCGCAAAAGTAGTTACATCGGTACAATGGACAAAAGTTGGCATGTTTTCGTCAAAAAAACGATCGGTTTTGAATCCCCTTAATGAAATTTGTGCTGTTTATAAGTACAGTAGAATCCGCTTATTGCGATACCATATACATCGATATTCCGGTTAAAACGATTCCTAGTCATGTATTTGGTCGGTTTAATATCTCATGTAGATAATGATTTCACCATCCGGATATAACGATCTGATTCTTTAGGTCCTTTATAACTCTTTATAAACGGATTATACTGTACCTGTAATTTTTGATTTTTCCCGAATTTTAATCGGTTATAGTTTCATAACATAGGGAGGAGGCATAAAACATTTTAATGAAATGTACGTATTTACTTAATTGACTTCTTTTTTTAGAAAAGAACATTAAACTTTAACCTACCTTATTAAGATTTTATTCTATTGCTATATCAACCAAAATATAATATAAATAATAATTTATAGTAACAATAATAACACATAAATATATATACATTTAGAAATATAAGTTGATCTAATCGACCTCAACAATATTTTTCAAAATACAAAATTTGTAGATATTAATTTTCAATATTTATTAATACTGAAAAAGATATACGTATACAAATTAAAAAATCATGAACCCACCATAATTTATAAGCTAAAGTTATAATTTTTTGCTATTCCCAAAAAATTGCCACTTGAGGCTTTTGCCCTTTTTTCACCTCACCCTTAAGTACACCACTAAATTATCTGTATCCATATATACAGCGTAAATGTTTGACGCTGACAAGTGTAACATCCGGCATGACGTTTTATCGTGCCCAGATTCTTTCGTATTTATCTACTAATACTGTCGGACATGTGATTATGTTATATTTCCGAACTGGAAACGCCTACGCCTACGAATTATGCTCGTGTTACTCGGCGATCCGTATTGAGGTTAACGGAAACGGAGCTTACTGTGATGAAAACTGGTTAGTAAAATGTCATAACTTGGGCTAGCAAATAGATAAATAAATTCAGAAAATATACAGTTAATAAACAAAAATATGGAAAATAATTTTTTAAATAAATCTCATAAAATAACTGATAATTATTTAATATAATTGCATTCAATTTTGATTAGTGATGTTAAATAAATCTGGATTATTCGAAAATCTGAAAAATCCGGATTTCGGATTTTAGACTAAAAACTCCGGACTTTCTTATTTTTAAATTTTAAAATCACAATTTTTGGATTTTCAAATTTTGAATTTTGAAATCCAGATTTTTGAATTTGAGAATCCAAATTTCAGAGTATAAAATTATAATCAAAGTATTATTTTTTTCGTATAAATCTTAAACTATTTCATTTTATACTTACTAATCTATTAAATATCTAGTTAATTTATTCTAGTTACAATTAATATATGTATATAAAACCATTCTAATTTTAAAATTTATCATCAATATTTAAATAGTTATATAAAGTAAATGAAATATATTATATATTATGTAATTAAGATATTTATTATTAGTTAATATTAGTTTATTTATTGTTCATTTGTTGTTAGTTTAGGATTTTCATATTTCAGAATCCGGGTTTTTTAGATTTTCAAGCCTGAATATTCGGATTTTAGAATTCGGAATTCAAATTTAAAACAAAATAAACGGATTTTCACACTTCAGCAAATCCAGATTTTTCACATAACTAATGATATGTTGTTCTATATTTCAAAAAAAAAAAAAGACCGACAGTTGAAACTAAGAATAAATTTAATTTGAGTATTAGCTTAAACCAGACAATTATATGTAGGTGATTTTATTTTTAGGGTTCCTCCAAGCTAAATAAGTATATTAAATACCAATAAACTACATCGGTAGTTCGACGAATAAAGACGTATTAGGGATTAAGAATATTCATTAAATAAATACCATTACAAACTCGTTAGTTTCTCAAAAACTCTTAACATGGTAATATGTTATTCATTACGTTCCAAGTTTGCGAAAAAAAAAAGTTATTTTTAATCGAAAATAAGTCAAATTGTGGACATTACTATCAATCGATTTGAGATTAAATGAAGGAAACAGGCAAGTGCACCAAAACCCAGTTTTAATCATAATATAAATTACAAACTGACGGTGGTATACCTGTTAACTACAATACCGATTGTCACTTGTACGAATTGAAAGTTTTACATATATTTTCGTTCACCTGGTAATAGGACAATTGGTAAAATCGGCTGATATTGATTAGGTAAATTAAAAAATACATAGTTATCAACCTTGTCATGACGTGAAGAAATCATAACGTAGTTATGTGGCGACGATATAGATTCATCAAAAATAATTCCGTGACAATTCAAATTAAATAACGATTGAATTATTAATAATTGTTATGTGTCGAACCACGCATACCTGAAATGGATCGTCTTCGTTGACAATATGTAAACTGATATTTCACGTTAGTTGAGTAATTTGTTCAAAAAAAAAAAAAAATGCTTGTCTAAACTTAACAATTTTTGGTTCAACAGTATGCGATATTCTCATTTTTATTTTTCATAATAATTGCGTACCTACAGATGTTTCCATTTTAACACGAAATATTTCCAAACGAAACTACTACATTTCAATCAGCCTGCAAAGGTACAATACCTCCAACCATTTGATGATTTGTTCTTTACTAATCACTGTAATTGTTTTCATATTTTTTGTTATAATACATATAATGGTAATTGATATAACATTAGATAACTTAAGTGATGTAATATCAAATTATTAATAATAAATATAAATAAAACATCAAAGTTACAGAAATTTAAGGTTATATATCAACATAATTATTATTTAAGATATGCATTGTTCTAAAAAAAGAATCATTCTTAGACACCTGTCCTTAAACGAGTAGAGATTTAGAGCATTTATGATTGGTTTATAAACATGTTAAAATGTTGAGGGTGATCAATATTTAGTAGGAAGTCAACAAAGTTGAAGAAACGATTCTGCACACGTTCAACTAATTTTATTTCAATTTGAAAATGAGGATTCCAAACGATCAAGCCATTGTCAAAAATTGAACATATATGAGCTGAATAGAGAGTTAAGCACAGTGTGCTGAGGTAAAATTATAAGTGACGACATAGAAATCCAAGAAGTCATTAGGCCGTACTACTAATTACACTATAATGAATAAATCGTTTTAAAACCATTGTTTTTTTTTTTTTTTTTTGTAACAAATTTTATACTTGTCAGTTTAAAGAAGTTAAATATAATTTTTGTATAAATGAACAATTTTTATTTGTACGACAGGAGTTTTTTTTATTATTAATAACATAATAATATATATATATATATGTATAATACTATATTATACTTATTATTTCTGAAATTATCCATTTTAAATAAATCCAATTCTATAATATTTATCCAATATCAATTTTTTTTTTTTTGCATATCTCTATAAGTTGAAAAACATCCTTTAGACTATGAACTATATTATTAGTAGTAAAATCCTAAACTGTAATAATAAATAAATAATGAATAACAAATTGTTACAATGAAAATTATAGGGAGTTCAGGCTTATAATTAGTTTGCGCTGGCATTCTGCATAAAACTGTATGGCATACTGTATAACTGTATCGATCAGTGTACCCTTGGAACTAATTTTTTCCCATTTGATAAGAACTATTTTACGAAGCTTACCCCAATATATTCCTATGTCCAGAAATGTACCTCAGAACTCTCCGATATTATAGTTGTATCTGTATAACAAGAGCATAACGTTATACGTCTGATGTGGTGAAAACAATATTTGTGATTTTTTTCGAAACATTTATCATCGCTTTCAGGACAACATCTTTACCGACCGGCTTTTTTTCTCTTTCCCCAATACACAAATGTAAGTTAAAATTATATTGAAATTTCAAACCCGTTGTTATTTCGTTGATTTCCTATTAGAAATTAAGTCTTTAGCTCTAATAGTCAAGCTGATTACTTATAAATGTAATTATAATAGTCATTGTTTTCAATCGGTACCGAACACGATGCTTTTGAACACAATGTTAAACTATAAACTATAAAGTGGCGGATCCAGAGGAGCAGTTTGGAAGGTTAGCTGATCCGTACTTTTTTCTCATTATTATCTGGTCTTTATTTTAATTTTTTACATAACTTTATAAAAATATCGAACACTTTATTTTATTAGAAACTAAATAGTTTCAACTATAGTTATAATGATTTGAAAATATTTTCCATAGATTCTCATCGATTTCTTTGAAAAGATATTTATTTATTTGTATAAAAATATTTATATAATTTATATAAATAACTATTACAAAATATACAATA